TTCCTTCCACCCATACTCTGTACACTTCAGTGCACCCTGCGCTCTGTATTTTAAATTTTGCTCACAAATGGCAAGCACAAAGAAGCAGCGCTGCCCAATGAGTGCTCACTGTTTGCGAGCGAAGATTAAATACAGCATGCAGGGAGCGCTGCTGTGTACAGAGTATGGGTAGCAGGAGAGCAAGAAGCATTCGGCCAAAGGGAAGTAGAGCGGTGGCGGAAGTGGCTCAGATTGGAGCGGGTAATTCCATTCCTCATAATCGCCTGGGAAAGTTGAATTACCCTTTAAAGCTGAACTTGGGCTGAAAAATACTTTTTTTTAACACAGCAGCCAACCCACAGCTGTTCAGAGAAGATGGACTTAAAGGTTATGAAAAAGGAAAAGGTCAGTGCCTAATTAAATGTTTTTGTTGCTAAAAAAAGGGGACACTTCAATCTGGTATTTTAAAGTCCAGAAGATACTGAGACACTTAACATTTATATAAAAATATTTCTGTTGTAGTATAAAGCTGAAGGAAAATATATAGCACACAATAAATGTACTCCTATTGTGTATTAAACAAAAAAAATACTGGTTACAATTGATTTAGTTTACTGCCAAAAGTGTCTAGGCTGATGCTGCGTAGAGGTGGAAATGCCATTAACCCATTCTTTAATTTACTCATTTCAAAATAAAGCTTTAGTGCCCATGGCTCAAGAGATTTTCAGAGAGTGTGAACATCTCTATATGCGATAATGAGCACTTACACAGTTTGGTAGCTTCTATAATCAGCCCCGGGGAAACTTTTACTTGGCCGGGTTCTTAATTGTTGCAGCTGATGCTCGGATCTCTAGGGCCCATCGAAAACAATTGTGCGGCGATGCAGAAAAATTAGGACATGCTGCATTTTTCTGCAGCACACTGGAAGCAACCACAAGTCACTGCACTGCTGTGTAAGGACCTGAATGGAGTGTACACACTGACAGCTTCAGCAGTGTGTGATACAGCTCACACTTGCCAGATCTGCCACAACGCACTAGCCCGCCCGTTAAAATAAAGCGTTTTAGAGGATGAGCTAGTGTGAAAGGCCCTCAATTTGTACTTTATCGGTTGCGATCACTGATGTTTCGATAAAGGAATCATCTGTGATAACCTGCTGATTTCACCAAATTAAAATGTATGTAACTTTTTTTTTAGTTTTTTAGAGTTAATAAGTGTAAACACATATTAGGTTTTGAATGTGGTCTGTGTCCCTTCTAGGGAGATTCACTCACTCTCTTTGCCCTGGTGACAACTGTCACAAAGACTAGAAGTGAGGGAAAGTCCAAGTTGTTAGGTTATCACCAAAACAGGAATAGGAGGTGAAATGTTCCAATTGGGACACTTGCTGCAGTAGAAGCTAAGTGAGTATTCCTTCTCACTTTTGAGAGATCTCCCCTTACTTCCTGTTTTGTCTACAGGACTGTGAATGAATGAAAATATCCCCAATGGGGTACAGTTGGCAAAACAAAATATCACTGGGGCTCTTAACCATTCCCTACTCTGTCCAAAATAAAAAAAAGAAGTTTGAGCTTTTCCTACACTTTAAAGCCCATCTCCAGGCAAACAAAAAACTACCACTGCACTGCAAGGATGAACTGCTTTTTCATGCCTAGGGGACCAGTGTAAAGCAGTTTTACTTACCTGATCCCTGGTCCTGCTAGTTCCAAGACGAACGCTCACAGCTTCTTCTCCCCTCTGCTACGGCCGTCAGAGGGCCCCTCTGACTTCATCATGTCTAATGCAGGGCCCATAGACCTTCATTATACGTGCACACCGAGGGATAGTCCATGAGCTGGAGTGGAAGAGGTGAGCACTGACTGCCAGGGGAACGGCATCCGGTAAGTTGATCTTCTTCTCCTTGGATATAAATGACCCGTTAACCCTTGCAACGTGGGGGGTAGCACTACTGCAAAGGAAGGGTTTTTGTTTGCCCAGAGATGGGCTTTACGTAAAACCAACAAAAAACACATACACCAAGTCATCTAACTTACATTTTTCTAACACTCTGAACTGAACATTTAAAAGAGAATTAAAGCCAAACCTTTTTTTGGCTGTAGTCCTCTTTTTGATCAAAGGAGTACATTTACTATTTCCCGCTATTTGCCGACAGCACAGAGCCGCGCCACAGCCGGGAAAGATTTCGACAATATTGTCAGGATTAGACATGTGCAGCGGCTAAAAATTAGTTTTGTTTCGGATTTCGGATCCTATATGTGTTTCGTTTCGTGAATCGGATTCATATTCGGATCTGATTGGGAATTTGTGTCGGATTCGGACGAATTCCCGAAAATTCAACTTGAGGTGGGGTAGCAGAATTGGCACATTTGTCATGTCTGGTTGCTGTGCTCTAGTCTTTACTATTAAGGGGACATTAAAATCCTTCTCTTAATTTGTTTTTATCCGTTTAAATGTTAACAGTGCACGCACAGGATTTGGACGAAATTCATTCCAAATCCGAAATTTCGGATTCTGATTCTTTCGGATATGCTATATTTCGGATGCTCCCAATCTACAAATTTCCAAAATTTACAGGTTACAACGAGTAAATAAACACCCAACATGCCCAGGTGAAAAACTGTGTGTGTCCGTGAAACTGTGACAAAATTCAGTACCCCAAAAAGTCCAAAGGCAACGCTTTAAAAGCCCCTACAGGTCATCAGTTTAGAGATATGCATAAATATTGGCCCTAGAATTATTGCTCTCACTTTGATGTGTGCGGCGATACCAAACATGTGTAGCGCAATCATCGCTTCCATATGTAGGCGCACCCGACATTATTTCATTAAATATTATTTTTAAAACTTTTTTTTTAACTTTACTTGCTATCACATAGGGAGGTTTACAAGCCCCCCATGTGATAGCATATTGACAGTGACAGGTACTCTTTAAGGTGACACTTAGGTGACAAAGACTCCTAGTATCACCTTTCTACTTTAAATAAGCTATTGAAGTGCAGATCACAATTCAATAGCTTATTGCTGGGCTTCAGGAGCCCAGCAATGACAGCTATTAGATCACAATATAGAGAAATGGAAACACTAAAGTAATTAAACCCAAAAGGTAGTTATTACTGTCACTATCACAGATAATTACAAATAGAATTACTCACGTTAAGGGATGAAATTGGAGAGTATGGCCCTGTGCATATATGAATTGGTTTATGGATAACTGGCATAATATAGAGGTTAGAGGGGATTATTGTAATGCATTGTCTTGTTTTATTGTTGCATGTTTGTCAATTATGTGAAATATTTGGATTGTTGTCTGAAAATTTATAAATAATGATATAACAAAACAAAAAAAAAAGACTGGAAGTGATGTAATCTGCATCTCCCCCGGTCCCATAGTACAGGGAGGAGATTGGTGAATGGACGTTTGCCATTCTCCTCCCCAGCTTCACACCGACACCTGCGATGCCGGTTCCTGGCCCGTAGGAGGGGCAGTGGAGCCCGGAAAACACAGCGGGGTGTCGGGCGGACAGTTTACCGGCCCTTAGAAGCGATCTGGCGACAGCTGAGGTTTACATTTGTAAAGCCGTAGCCTTTACAAATGTAAACAGAGTCTTAACGTCTGTTTAAACAGGCCCGCTGCCAGTGACGTACCTTGTATGTCACTGGTCATAAAGGGGTTAAATATTGATTTAGTTTAGGTCAAGAATGCCACGGACTTTATACCACAAAATGCCGAAGGGGCTGGGTGGAAGAGAGTCCAACCTGACTAGTGTTGTTCTTGTTTATATTATATATATACTTTACATTCTCTGATATTGTTTGAGAAGATTTGATTGGAGAGGTTCCCAATGTTTGTTTTTGGCACTACACTAACCGTCAGGATGTTCATTGCCTTGGTTTGATGTGCGGCCATGTGGCCCAGATACGATGTGAATTCTCTCTGTATCCCACCACTTTGTTTATAAATAAAGAATTTGAAGAATGCCACGGACAGTCTATAACATTAGATGAACAGCAATGAAGATCACCAGCACTCAAGAAGACCATGGACAGTCTATAACATTAGACAAATAGCCATGAGGCCTGAATTTCTTCTGGGAATCTCAGACCTTCTCTGCTTGTGATGCTCTTTGTGAGAATTTGGTGTTTGCCTTAGTGACCTCAAATCTTCTAAAACGAACGCACGCAGAGGCAAGCGCAAACCAAGGGAGAAACTGCCCAGAGCTGGATCTTCACAGATAACTGTCACCAGCAGAAGGAACGACATGAATAAATCTTGAGTGAAGCTTTTACCTTGAGGATCAGTGGCTGTGCAGCAAGGTTACATTTTCACTTGTACATATTTTTAACTGGGATTTTTTTTGTTTTTTACATAAACCCCTATTTCAGTGGTTAGAAAGATTAATATGAAACGCAAGATCAACACACCGGAAGTAGTAAAGCTCAGACCTGTTGCTTTTATTGTTCTATTTAGCCTTCCATGCTAAAAGCGAAATGCACTCATGTACACACAGGTTAGTGTTACACGGATGTTATTTGACAGACCACACACACACACACACACACACACGTACACAATACCTGGCACACACTATGGGTCACGCTCAGATGCAGACAGCTCTCCTCCCCTGACAGGAAAAAAGAAAAATGCCAGAGTATGTGAACAGCGAACATCATTATATGAGACATGCTCACAGCATCATGGCTGTCACATACAGTGAGTAAAAGTTTTGTTGCATAGCAATATTCATCTCCCTTCCTCACTAGGCTTCCTATGGATTTGGCATTAAAGGCCCAGGGTTTATCTCTAGAGCAAACTGGATGTTATTAGAGAACATAGACAAGTTTATTTTTCTTATTTAGCATTTTATTTCTGAACAGGGCACAATCTCGCTACAGATGTTACAAAATCTTGTACTGTAAGATTTACATAGTCTCAGCCACCAAGACATAGCAACCTTCAGCAATGAGATGTTTAATTGCGTTGCCAAAGCCAGCCCTGCGTATGAACGATTATGGTTTGAGGCCCACATAGAGATTTCATTAATATACTAATCTATTTTACCAAAAGAAACAATACGGTGTTAGCCCAAGTTTTCACAGACAGTTATTGTCACTTTGCATCTCACCTTTTTGATTGTATTTTGCTTGCTTCCTGCATTCTCGTGCATTATATCCATCGCGCTCTCGCGTTCCTTTAACTTAAGAGATTCTATTTCTGTTTTCAGCTCATTCAGCTGTTCTTGCAGGTGGCGGCTCTTTTCCATGTACTCTACCCTGTGGAAAAACAAGTATGTATGTGAGCAATCAAACATAATGAAACACCATATCAATAACTAGGATGCCACTGTATTCTATTCATAATCAAGAAAGCATTACCAAATATCCTCTTATGTGATTTTAGGCTTTTTATATTTGAAAGCCTTACACCACCTGCAGCGTAAGTCTAATTTGGGTGACACCTTTGGAGATGTATACATACACAAACACACACGCATACAGTTGTGTGAAAAAGAAAGTACACCCTATTTAAATTCTATGGTTTTACATATCAGGACATAACTGAAATCCTTTGCTCCTTAAAATTAGGTAAATACAACAACACATAATATATTACACCGTTTTAAGCGGCTAGGTATCAGCCAGGTGCTGCTAATCAAATTAGGTGTTAACACAATGCCAAGAAGGCCAGACATCAGCAATAAACATAGAAAAACAATTGTTGCTGCCCATCAATTGGGGAAGGGCTATAAGGTCATCCTACAGTAAGGAAGATTATTGACAAGTGGAAAACATTCAACACAGCTGCCAATCTTCCCAGGAGTGGACGTTTTTAGCAAATCCCCCCCCCAGATCAGACTGTGCAATGCAAAAAACCCAAGAGTTACAGCTCAGACCCTACAGGCCTAAGCATGTTACATTTTAAAGTTCATGACTGTACAATTAGAATAAGACTGAACAAGTTTGTTTGGAAGGGTTGCCAACGAGAAAAAGCCTCTTCTCTCTAAAAAGTACATGGCAGCACATGCATCTAAACAAATCACAAGACTTCTAGAACAATGTCCTTTGGACAGAGACCGAGATGTTTGGCCATAATGCACAGTACCATGTTTGGTGAAAACCACACACAACATATCAGCACAAACACCTCATACCAACTGTCAAGCACAGTGGTGGAAGGGTGATGATTTGGGCTAGTTTTGCAGCCACATGATCTGGGCACCTTGCAGTCATTGAGTCAACCATGAACTCCTCTGTATACCAAAGTATTCTAGAGTCAAACGCGAGGCCATCTGTCTGACAGTTAAAACTTGGACAAAAGTGGGTCATGCAACAGGGCAATGATCCCAAGCACACCAGCAAATCTACAACAGAATGGATGAAAAAGAAAAGAATCATGGTGTTGCAATGGTCCAGTCAAAGTTTAGACCTCAACCCGATTTAAATGCTGTGGCAGAAAGCTGTACATAAACAAATGCCTGCCAACCCCAGTGAACTGAAGCAATGTTGTTGAGAAGAGTGGGCCAAAATTACTCCACAATGATGTGTGAGACTGAGAGAAGTCATACAGAATATGATTACTTGAAGTTATTGCTGTTGAAGCTAGAGCTGCAGCTAACGATTATTTTCATAATCGATTAGTTAGCCGATTATTAAGTTCGATTAATCGATTAATCGGATTTAAAAAATGCTTCTACAGGCTACTGAATCACAAGGTGTACTTAGTTTTTCCACACATGGCTTCTCCATTTTGTCTTTATGCTTGTAAAATAAATAATGACACGGTGTAATATGTCATGTGTTGTTGTTCATCAGAGGTTGTATTTACCTAGAACAGCTAAGGATCATATGGTTTTTATTATGTCCTGATACTTAAAACCATAGAATTCAAAGAGGGTATACTTCCTTTTTCACACAACTGTATAGATATTTTTTTGTTATTTACAAAACATTTCCTATGCACGTATAAAACCATGAAATGGACAATAAAATACAATTTTAGAAGGAATGCAAACAAATCATTCCCGACTGATCATATCAAATTCTTCACATTGTACTGAAATACTATACCCTAAATGTTGTCCCAAATACAAACAAAAGCTTTTGTTTAGCAGCTGTAAGACTGCTTTATGCAAGTGTTAGACAATTGTGCAATGTGCTAAAGCATCATTGTGGAAAGCCCGAGGGCATCTTTTAAATCATGTTGATAGCGATATCTAGGCTGTTTGGCATGCAAATTAACGAATTTCGAAGCCTTTATGTAAAAGGTAAAAGTCAGATTGATTAGTAAAAATTATTAAACCTTAGTGATCAAGGCCAGACGTCACTGGAGAGTGTACGTGCAATAAAATGCGCCATACTACAAGATAAAGGATTTTTTGTTTTTTAAACCCAGGGATAAAGTATCCTCTCTGTAAGCTATTAATAGGTATAATCAGCCATATTTTCATGCATTTCCTTTTGCAATATCATTCATGGTCTAACCTCAATCTACATACAAATCAGCTACTGTTCCTTTCCTATAAAAATAGGGGTATGGCCAGTCATGCAATAATGCCCATGGGTGCAAACCAATTACTAAAAAAAAACAAAAACTGTGTACTATATATGCCACACCATCACTTGACATTTGCACGACTGATAGCATACACAGAATGAAAAATAAATTCAGAAATGTAGGCTGAAGTATTGTTATAAGAAGTTAACAGGGCACAATTCCCACCCTGCCTCTTACTTTTCTTTCTCTATTTCCATGGACAGGCGTTTCATATCGGTGTCCTTGAAATCATAGGGCAGACTGTCACTGAGCAGGCTGAAGCTTGGCACATCAACAGGGGGCACAGAGCTACTGCTGGTACCTGCTGCTTGCTGAAAAAGAAATGACTTACGATTAGAGAAATTGCAAGTTATAGAAATGGAGGGAACATTGAGAAAAACCGAACTGAAGCAATACTTACTTCTGTTCTAAGTGTGGCGTTTACCACCAGCAGGACAAGGAAAAGTTTAAACTAGTCCAGTCATAAGTGCCAATTGCAATGACAATACATCTCTGATAGAGGTGATCTGGCACAATCATATGTACCCAATACACTTATAAAGGACTACTATTTTCTTACATTTGTGGGCACATTTAATTCAGCTCGGGGCCTGTGTTGAGAGGCTTTTGTTCGCTTCAAGCGGGTTTTGCATTCCTATTCAGGTCTATGGAATGGCACAACCTGCTTGAAGCAGGTCAAATGCAGGTCTAAAAGGAGGTCACAGCTGCATCTGTCAATTAATTCTGAATAAGCGCAAAACTGATGCCATCGACATATGCCCAAAGTCTTTTGACACAGGCCCTAATTATTATCACATGCCGTGGCACAATGACTATGGAAACCTTGTCTTTTGCAGAGCTGCAGGAACAGAAAACGTGGCTACACTTCAAAGGATTTTTCCAATAAGAGGGCGTTTCAATATCTGCCTGACCATATTATGTAGTATGACAAAGACTGTGCTAACCACTACATTTTCCAAAAACTAAAAGCAGTGATAATGGTTTTATCCCTGGTGTCAATTGTAGGCGAAACGTGGCTTTGCAAAATGACTATTCCTGGTGCAATTGTACGGGTAACACAATATTATTATTATTGTACAGGATTTATATAGCACCAACAGTTTACAAAATGAAGGGAGATAATACAGTTACAATACAAATTCAAAATGCTGGTGAGAGTTACAATCTAGCAGGAGCAGAAAACCATAACAAGTTTTAATTGTGAGGGATGAGCTAATGGAATAAGTATAGTTATTATGTGGAGGTGGGATAGGTTTCCCTAAAAGATGAGTTTTCAAGGACTGCCTATAGTTGGACAAAAGTAGGAGATACGCAAACTGATTAGAGTATGAAGTTTAAGAGGTTGGGAGAAGCTCTGGTGCAGTCCTGGAGTCGAGCATGGGAGGAGGTGACAAGGGGACTGGAGAGCAGGAGGTCTTGAAAGGAGCAGAGAAGATGTTTTGGATGATATTTTAAAAGATGACAATATAAAAAAAGTCGGTGTCTGGGGACCTCTGCACATATATGTGTGAACGGTTACTAAAACAACCAATGTATCAGGTTTAGTGGCACTTTAAAAAGCCCAGCAATCTTGTTTGAATTGCCTAGTATGTTTATTAGAAAATAAAACGTTTCTAAGAAACAATTAGGTTCAGAGAAACTGGAAAACTGAATGCACCATTAAACTTACAGTGGTCGTTAGGCTACGCTAGTCAAAAAGGATTTCAAATCAGTGGCCTAGCAGTGTAAACGAAAGACCACAAAATAGTCAAGTTACACATTCCTATGACATATTTATCCAATACCATTATATTAACTAAAGCAAATAAATATTCAAAGGTTACATATGTAAGAAGAACTCTTTTTGTAAGTGCAACTAACATCAGATAGATTTACTCATGGCAAAGTCTTCATGTTCCCTTCTCTTCAGAAGGTCAGTACCTTCTTTGTTCAGACATCTAGGTTCAGCATTTACATCCTAAACTAAGATGCAGGCCAAGGGATAACATGCTTCTGTAAATCCTTGTGATTTATATTTAGCCTTTAGGTTTATGTTTTGGGCTCAGAGTACACATCTTCGCTCGTAGAACTCTGCTGCTGCTTCCCAATAGACTGAGAAAGTCTGAGTGGTGACTGGGGGAGATAAGTGAATGATTCCTACTGCCTTCAGCAGGTTGGTGACATCATTCCTCTTTGCAGGCAAGTATTCTTTAAGGTGGTGTCTGGGGACAGTCACTTGTCTGGAGCTAAAGAATGGATTTATCAATGCAATGCAGTACATTGGGACATCAGAATTTAACTTGTCAACAAATCAATGGAACAGAAAAATGTGTAACTGTTTGCTCTAAAGCAAGTATATCTCAAACTGTAAGTCTGAGATCATTGTTAATTAAAAGAAATGTAAATGCCTTACCGCATACGCTGCTTTGCTGGTGATTTCCAATAGCTTTTGTTTGGCTCTGCGCTCAGATTCCCGGGCTTCTTGTAAATCTTGCTTCAACTGATCTGCTTCCTTTGCTCTTAGATATGGATAGAAGTCATATTGTTACTGTGTGCAAAGTGGGAATTCTGTGTTTGATTGTGTCACTTCGACTTTCAAACATATTTCACATATACATGAAGACTTTGTAGATTTCATTTGCTGAAGAAAGTTACACTTGTTTATCTTGATATAATTGTACAAAATCAGTTGTACACAGAACGATTATGTTGGAACAAGCCAAGACATAATCAATTGCACGATTGCTGAATTTACATACATGGCAAAACACATGATCTTAAACTAGAATTTAAAAAAACCCACATCTGAACATCATAAGAACAAGGCTTTTCCCCGTTGCCTCATAAGCACATCAGCTTACCTTCTTTCAGACTCTTCTGCCATCTTGAGTGCCAACACCTCGGTCTCAAGCACTTTCTTTTCCATGAGTCTCTTTTCCTCTTCACCGCGAATGGCTGTAGCTTTTATTCTCTGTATCTCGTGCTCAGCCTCAGCTGCTTTCTGGGCAAGCAGTTTAGCTTCTTCCTCTGTGATCTGAGCTTTTTCTGCTAGCAAGTCTGCTGTTTCTTCAGACCTCATCTAGATAGAAATAAAGTCAGCTAACAACTCTATCTGTGCTGAGGCATGATAAGTCACACATATAAATACGGTTATAACGGCAATTCAGAAATGTACACTTTAGGACAATGTATTCATCTGTTCAGCTACAAATTTCTCACCAGAGCATCATTGGCCATTTGTGCATCTTCCTTCAGCTGCAAGAGTCTCCTTTCAAGCTCATCACGTGTCCTCTCGGCCTCTTCTCTCAGTTGCTTTTCCCGTGCCAGCCTCTGACGCTCCATCTGCAGGTAATTAAAATTTGGTTTTAGCATAACAGAGTTGGATAAACCAAACAAGATAAAGTTTTAATTTTCATTTATGGTCAGCAACAAAGCTCAGGAAATTAGACCACTGCACTAGTTCACCTAACTGTGAATGTTGCTGTAAAAGGGTCTCTCTCTCTCTCATACATGGGTTTAGGATTTATTTAGCATTCAGCATAGCATTTGTGACTCCATGGCAGAGTTGGGGAGCTGAATTCGAACTCTGGATAGAGTCTCCAACAGATAAAAAGCCATGGGATGGTTCAGGCTACCCGTGTCCATCCATTATTTAAATATCAGTATGCGATGAACAGATCTACTACAAGTTAATTAATTACAATTAATTTAGCAAATTAGACAAATCCTACAACATCTTCACATTATTTTACCTAAACAGGTTATATTACTGTGGCTGCATGAATGATTTCTCTGTTAGCCATAATCTTTGAGCAAGAACAGCTTCATTAGAACATTAAGAGAAAATATTCTAGTCACTGATATTGGGTAAGGTAAGTCCGATTATTTATATCCTTATGTACAGGATTCTGGGATTACAGAACAATGACAGGTTTGTCATGTCTATATATGTACTAATGTAGGTGCTTTCACAGATTACAGATGACCCACACTGCAGAAAGAACTTCTTACAACCAGGACACTACCTGCATGGAGTTTGCAAGCTCTCTTCTTTCTCCTCTTTCCTTCCACACGCCAAAGACATGCTGATAGGTTAACTGGCTCCTGTCCAAATTGGCCCTAGTATCTCTAGGAATGCATGCGAGGTAGGGACCTTCGATTGAAAGCTCCTTACAGGAAGGTACATTTAAAAACCTCAGCCACAATTTATCTTGTTTTAGGTACAGTGGGGAAGGTTTAAAGCAGGGGTGGGCAACTCCAGTTGTGCTTTAACTACAAATCCCAAGAAGGCTCTGGGAGTCATGCCTGTAACTGTCAGTCTAGAAATGCCTCATGGGACTTGTAGGTTCACAACAGCTGGAATACTGGAGCTGCCCACTCCTAGCTTAGAGCCTTCGTCAGGTATTTCTTGCCCTCTGTGACCCTTTTGGGGAGAATGCCCCTCACTTCTGTTAGGAAAGGCTAGAACATCTGACAATGTTCTTATTGCCATTTGTGCGTTCCAGTCTCAACAACAACTCTTTTCTCAATTTTGTATGGGCATCACAAGGACAGGAAGTGAGAGAAATTCTCCCCAATGGGACTACAGAGATGTTTCAGCATAAGTCATAGACTCACAGTGACATTGGGTTTCAGAGGGCTCTTCACACACAAGTTTTAATCTAGAGTGTCTTTTCTGTAACCAGCCAATATGTTTAAAACTTGGATTGAATTTTGAAGTGAATATCACAGCCAAAAAAATCCATGCCAGCAGGTATATCCCTAATGAGTCTAAAAAGCTGAGTACATCAGTGATTTTTAGCTAGGTGCTTGCTCTTTGTTCTTGAGGGTCATAACAAACACAAACGATCCAGAGGAAACTATAATCTAGGAAAACCTCTAATTAAAAGTAAATGATGACATTGATCATACACGAGTAGTGTATTACAGTCTCATCTTCCACATTAAAGGAGGGTCAGAACCAGGTCCTTATATTTCCATTAATATGCAAATATATTTTCAAGTTGCTCTTATTAAAAAGTTGCAGCTCAAGAACAAAAATTAGTTAACATAGGCGCTTCACAAACCTTATAATGCTAAATAAAGTAAAAAATGATTTTTTTCCTGAAATGTCTTTCATGGTAAATACAGCAAACTATGAAATTTGTGCTTGCATTATGCTTGAAGATACATTTTTGAAGTACGCTTTATTAGTTCTGCTGCTGGAGCTTTCCATTTTAGTGATGAAGACCCATGTGAGGTATCCAAAGCCGACTCTGCTGGCAAGGCAAACACATTTCTGTTCTAATATGTAGCACATAAAGTGAATCTTTGGCACTACAGTTTACACATATCCCTCTAAAGGAATTGTATCTGAATATAGAATCTTTCAATTTACTTTTCATAGTCTGCACACTGATGAGTTCAGCAGCATCTACTCTACCATCAAAGTTTTCCTGCTAAATCTTCAAGACATTATGATTTTACAGGTTACAGATGTAGCTCTAGCACAATAGTAGAGGAAGATGCTCTATGTGACCAGCTATATAAAAAGGACCAAAAAGTACAGTGAGGTCATATAAGTCAGTGAGCAATACTCTCGGTAGATGTATTGTCCCCAACATGATAACATTTGCCAAGTTGTGGTGACCCCCAACGGAGCATTGGACATAGAAACGCACTGGACTTAGCAACACAGTGGACTTAAGACTAAAAACAGAAGCACACTCAAGAGCGAGAATACAAGCTCTCTGCAGCCCCTGCTACCTGCTACGTCTTCTCAGTAGGTGCAGCCTTCTCATCCTGTGCACTGGCAAGACACCCCGCCTCTTGCAGAGCCCGCAATGTATGGGAGGCGGGAGGACAGCAGCGGCTGTGAATGGAAAAGTGCCGCTGTACACACTGCCCAGCCGCGGCTGCTGCAGCGACATCTGGCGGTGCAGCAGAAGAACTAACACTGCTGCGCTAGGAGGAGGTTGAGGAGCCTCTCGTCTAGTGGAGCAGAAAGCACCAGGCGACCCACTAAACAGGGGGTTGCCACCCACTTTTGGGTTGTGACCCACAGGTTAAGAACCACTGATGTTTAAATATACACTGATCAGCCATAACATTATTACCACTGAGAGCTGAAGTGAATAGCATTGATCATCTTGTTACAATGGCACCTGGACATGGGTGGGATAGTAGGCAGTAAGTGAACATTTTGTCTCTGAAGGCGATGTGTTGGCAACAGGAAAATGGGTAAGCGTAAGGATTTGAATGGCTTGGACAAGGACCAAATTACGATGGGTAGACAACTGTGCCAGCAACTCTAAAACAGCAGCTGTTGTTGGATTTCCCAGTCTGCAGTGGTCAGGACCTACCAAAAGTGGTCCAAGGAGGGGAAAACAGTGAACTAGCAACAGGGTTAAGGATGGCCAAGGTTCATTAATGCCCATGGGGAGCAAAGGCTGGCCTGTGTAGTTCAATACAGAAGAAGAACTACTTCTCAAATTGCGGTAAAGGTGATTGCTGGTTTTGATAGAAAGGTATCTGAACAAACAGTGTATTGCAGTTTATTTTGTATGGGCTGTGTAGCTGCAGCCCAGTCAAGGTGCCCAAAAAAAAAGAGCCTAGAATGGGCATGCGAGCATCAGAACTGGACGGAGCAATGGAAAAAGGTGGCCTTGTGTGATGAATCGCATTTTCTTTGCATCATGTGCATGGCCGGGTGTGCATGTGCCTCTTACCTGGGGAAGAGATGGCACTAGGATACACTATGGGAAGAAGGCAAGCTGGAGCAAGCAGTGTGATGCTTTGGGCAATGTTGTGCTGGGAAACCTTGCCATTTATGTGGATGTTACTTTGACACGTACCACCTACCTAAACATTGTTGCTGACCAAGCTTCATGAACACGGTTTTCCCTGATGGTAGTGGCCTCTTTCAGTAAAATAATGCGCCCTGCCACACAGCAAAAATGGTTTGAGGAACACAACACGAGTTTGAGGTGTTGACTTGGCCCCCAAATTCTCCAGATCTCAACCCAATCAGGCATCTGTGGGATGTGCTGAAAAAACAACCCTGATGCCCACCTCGCAACTTACAGGACTTGAAAGAAGGATTTGCTACTGATGGCTTGGTGTCAGATACCACAGCATACCATCAGAGGTCTAGTGCAGTCCATGCCTCAATGGGCCGGGGCTGTTTTGGCAGCAAGAGTGGGACCTACTCAAGATTAGGCTGGTGGTCATAATGTTATGGCTGATCGGTGAATATCTTCTAGAATGCCTGATTATGCAGGAGGGTGGGGAGAAGGGGGTTCACCTCCATTTACCTCTTCATAGTCTGCACTAGGTTTTAGACATTAGTACTTGAGCTGCAACCGTTCCTTTCTTTCACTGCTTTTTATGTTTCGCTCCTTTTGTGGCTTTTTCAGCCTACTTTAGCATGTATAAATCTCTCTGCAATTAAATTTAAGTTATCCATTATTGCTAGTGCACGAAAAGGTTTTTATTGTTTCTACAGTTTATTCTCCTATAATACTTATATGTAATAAGTATGCCATTAAAAATCCACATGTGCCATTGCAGCTTTAGCCTAAATGGACGTAAAGGACGAGAAGAGTAGCTAAAAGGAGAACTAAGGTCAGAAAATATAACCAGTTATCTTGAATAATACTAGGTCTCGTATACTGAATGTTAGCAGTACCCACACAGTGAATGTTAAGAAAATCAGCTTTGGGCAGCAGAGGGTAAACCTCTAAATGTGAACTGCAGAGGGCTTATTAATGGATGGAAATTTTGATTTAATCCTCAAGGCGGCTCTACAAAAAAAAAAAAAAAAAGGCTCGGGAACTAACTATTCACTTTTACAATACATTCATGAATACATTGAGAGCTTTGCCTAGAGTTAAACTTTAAAGCATACCTAGATCATATAATATTATTGGTAGAGTATTACTGCTACTGTTATATTTGAAGCTGCCTCACTGTTATAGATTTGAGTTTAGCTATGATCTACCTGCCAACATTTTGTCTAGGGATCAAAATGTTAAATTTTTCTCATAAGAAATGCAATTCCAAAAATGTGTGAATCTTGTGTGAAGACATTGATACACACACCCCCTAGTCTTGTATTAAGGTCTGCATCTTTTTGTATATGATGTCAAGGCAATGGTGATATAAGTGCTGTAATTCTCAGTCTACTAATATAGAAATTTCTTCTCAAAAGGTAGCTTTTTAAAAAAATTGCCCTTCCATAACTCTACACACGAGCTGGATAACACAAGCCTTACAAATTTAGAGAATTAAACAGCAAACTAAATAATGCACAAGTCTGAGCACTAGAGAATGTCTGTTGCATTGCAGATAGCCAGTGGAATCCG